TTATACACGTATTTGCTCACTCTCACAAACCCACAGTTGTATTTTTTTAAATGGAGTTTCTTTCTTCAATGAGATTGGAAAAGGTCTTTATCACACAGGATCTGGCAGAACAGATACATCCTATTAAACAACAGAGCAGTTACAGAAAGAAGACCTCTTCAGGAAAAAAGAGCTTTCTTTTTCCCCCCATTTATTTGCAATGCCATAAAAGGGTTCTCAACACAAAAACAGAGCAAAAAGCCCCCAGTACCTGACTAGCATTTTGGCAAAATTAGGAGCCCTAGGATATGAACCAATATTGATATGTGCGCTAATATTTTCACTCAGCTTCCAAAGGATAAATTCTAAGCAATGTGGTGTAAAAAACCTGCCAGCTGAAACAATGTCTGCACTGCAACTACCCACCCTGCTAAGTCGAACATCTGAATCCCTGTCGATAACCCTGGAACGTGTTTTGACAACGTGTCTCAAAGTTACTTGCAGAACATTTGGTTCTGGCCTGCACACCCATTTCCCAAACTACACACAGGTTGAGACTGGCTCTCCCACATGCTCTCTACATGTATACATAGACACGTGCACACAAAATGGACTGATTCACATGGACTGTGCTATTTCCAACAGCGCTCTGCGCATTATCTTGTGCTGTCTTACTGGCACTTCAGTGGCGCTCTGCTCCATCTTTTTATCTCATTTTTCACTGCAGTCTTCCTCTCCATTCCATAATCAAACATTTGTTTTCTCTTTAATTTCTAAGAAACACTTGGTCTGAATCCTGACTCATGGCTCAAAGGACTGAAAAGAGTGTTTCAAACCTGCCATGTCAACACTTCAGCTCCAAGATATATTTCCCTTCTATTGGTATTCCAGAATTGGTTTAACCCTTTCCCAGTTTGATGCTGTGTTTTCTAAAAATCTATATTATTATCTATACATTAACCACTTCTGTGCACAGAATGTTGGGGTTTTTTAGTATGCACAGATTTGTCTTGTACCGTGGCAGCAACTGAAGACCCCAAAACATCCTCTTGTCATCTTTTATACAGAAAAAGACAACCATCCTGAACTTAAAAAGAATTTATCGCTCATGAGCTGCCACAATTACATGCATGTTCAGTACCACTGCCTTTCATTCTCATATGCCCAAGCAGCATTTGGTCCAGTTCCTCCTAGTAGTGCTCCATTACTTCTCTTCAAATAGAATTTCTCTTTTTTGCTAATAGGCAAGCTCCTGGGCTGCACTCCTGGAACAGGGGACAAAATTTCTCTCTGTGTCTCTTCACTAAAAGGCCCTAACTGCTTCTGACACAGGAAAAAAGCATCAAAATCTCAAACCTCGGTTTAACCAAAGGAAAGACACCTGACAGCTATTCCTAAGACTCACTGTTGCTGACCAGTCTTTTCATGTACAGTAGGAATATGGACAGTGGGATGTAAGAATTTAGATTTTGGAGTGTCACCTTCAGTGCCATCTACAGGGGCTGACTCACGCATGTGTACGCATGCTTGCGCGCACACACTTCAGTATAGCTTTGGTGCTTAACAGAGATTCATTCACCTTCCAGCGATGCTGTTGTGCACACTGGGCAGCAACACCACGTTAGTTTCATTAATTTGCTCTGAAAGATGTTTGGAAACAGATCCATCCAATTAATTCTACAGAGAGATTCTAAAAGCAGACCAGACTCCACTATGTTGCCAGCTGTGGCACATGACTGAAATTTCTCTATACAAATATTTGCCACTTCAGTGGGAAATTTCTCAAAAACCAGAATTCCCTGGCAGTCACCCTGCAGGTGACTACCCCATCCCATGCCCTTCTCACATCTCTGAGTATCTTTCTCTGAATTTCTTATTCCTGGAGACTGAATGCGTCCCCTGAATGTAGCTGCTCTGTTTACCACATACAGAAAAGAGTTTTTATACACTGGACAGCATGCACACAACTGACACAGCAGCGTAATAAATATGGAAGCACAGTAGCAGATGACCCCCACCGTTTTCCCTCATAATGCTTGCTTGTAGTCCAATTAGTGGAGTCCTAAAGTAAATAAAAGTTCAAGTCATTCACTGCCTGGCAGCCTCACAGCCCCTCGCTATACTCAGTTTAAGACTGCAGGATTTCATATTTTACTGTAAAAAGAGGTTTTTAACACAAAAAAGTTTCGAACTTTTTGTTCGAACTGTTTGTTACCAGCCATTCCTGGTAAAAGGCCTCAGGCAAAGAGGTACAGCTATGCTTTTCCTTACACCAAGGGTTTTGCATGACAGTACTGCCATCATGTGACTGCAATCAAATGTAAATTTCCCGAGACATCTCTGAACACCATGGTCAGAGTAAAAGCTATGGCACTATTAATGTGAAAGCAGAGGTTTTAAATAAAGGTGTGGAAGAGAAGGCTATCTCTTCTGTGACTGGACTGAAGAAACTTTTAAGTTCAACTAAGAAAGTGGCAAGGATGGCAGAAGAGAAAAGGACAATACTACAGCAAAAGGCATTATTGAGAAGTGCTGCCTCCCTTCCGTACCACACATGAATTCGATTCTCTTTCCAAGAAAGTGAAAGAAAGGAGATGAAAAGGAGTAACCTAGAAGAGGCTTTTGAGTGCCACACCGTCTGGACAAAGAGTTGTACTTTGGCAGCTGCTTTTTGGACTAGAAATTATGTCGGGCCACGAATTACAAACTAGTCTATGCACTACGAAAAATGGGGGGGAGGGGGAAGGATTTAATGAAGGTGTTCCTGCTTCGAAGTAAATACAGTATAAATTCCCATAGTCTGAATTTGTCGTACATTTACAAGGAAGATGGTTTCCAAGGGATACGTCCTCTGTGCTATTTAAAGCTGATCGATAGTGCTTTATTAACTCAACAGCATCCTATATAACCAGTATGTATCATGTAGGGGGCAACTAAATAATTCATAGTAAGAGGCAGTTCACCTGTGAGCACAATGTGAGACCAATCCAGGGACTCTGTTAACATCTTGAAGTAAAGAGAGAAAACGGCCACATTATATGAAGTTAAGCTTTTTGGATTCTGCACCAACTTAACAATTAGGGAAGCTCTTTTCAGTGCTGATCCCTACTGGTACACAGAGAAACATTGAAGAAATCTCGTATTTTACATACATGCTTATTGTTAATATCAGCTGTGCTCAAGGCGGGTATCAGCAAAGCACCATTAAGTTATTTTCATTTTCTCAGAATGCCTCATTTCTTGCTTCAACCTCAACTTTGCTAACACTGCCGGTATTAAGGATGCCTAAGAAGCTCTTATCCCAGGGATAATTCCCATCCTCTCAGACGCACATTGATCATACCCACCTATTTTTTTTCTTTAGAGTTTGCAGAAGAGATGTCCTGACTATACTTCTTTCTTCCAGAGGGGGTCTTCACTCCAGGAATGAAAACCCTCCTGTTTTTTTCTTTCACATGGTGAGATAGCTTCTTGTACTGCTCCAGCTGGAATAAAAACTCTATTCAGGAATATAAAGCATTCCATAGCTATAAGACAGACTCTCTTGTCTAATTCCAGAGAAGTTACTGTTTGAGACTGTTAGGTAACATAGGATGAGAACTGCATTTATTTCTCTAAATCTGTAGTGTCCTATAACACCCATCTCAACCTCCCCCATCAATGCCACCCATGATTCTATGCATAGCCCATTAGGATTTGCTGTGTAGTGTCTGAACTTTCCACTAAAACTTAATGATGTGCGTTGATGAATGAACCTTTAATCTTCTTTAACACTGACACTTGTATGGCGCTGTCTCTGGCCTGGAATGGTTTGAGACACCCCCCATGGGCAAGATTTTCAAGGGTCACTCTAAAGCTGGTGTTCTGACTGGTGTGTTGATGGTACATTCTCATCCAGTCAGGAAGCAGGTCCATGTGTTAACAGTGAGCTAAGTAACACTGAAAAGTCCACTGGTTTGGTGGTCATGATGCCAATGGGATCTTGTGAGCAGTACTTATGTGTTGCGCACTCCCAGAGATTGTTCCAGTTCCTGCCGGCGCTGCTGGATCTGAAAGAAAAAGAGAAACTGTACAGTTCAGCAGATTCAATTGTTCAGTGGCAGGAAGATTAATTTATAAGCCAGCAGTGTGGATAATTCCTTTATACCTTGCAGTAGAAATATCTGCTCACAGCCTCTTGAGACCACGGCTCATGATAAAATTCAGCTCTGCGTTCTTCCTCTGGGTTTCCAACTACATCAGTCATCACCTGTGACAAAAATAAAAACATTTTCACTATAGCTCTTCTACCACGTAGAGAAACACTCAGATTTACCTAGAGTCAAAACTTAGGTACATTACTACATTAAAAATGCTCAGGACTGTTCTCTAAGCGCAGGACAAACAGAAAATGAATGGCATCTGTGCTTACTACCAAATAAGATGGTTGCCTACAAACTGTGACCTGTGAACAGCTCCTAACCTCTGCTTCTCAACTGTGCCAAGCAATAATTCTGGACACCAGTAGTTGCCCAGGCTAAGTGCCACGACCTCTAACAACTTAAAGCATGGCCAGTGTAGTTCCAGTGCCCAGGAAAAGTTCCCTGGCACTGTGTATTTCATTAGCCTATGTATCCAAAGAACCTCAGTAGTTATCCATACACAAGGCAACAGCTTGAAATTGTTAAGGTATTCACCTCAGATTGAAGCACAACTCAGATTGAAGCACAACTCAGATCGAAGCACAACTCAGATTGAAGCACAACTCAGATTGAAGCACAACTCAGATTGAAGCACAACTCTGTATCAGTGTTGCCCTCATCTCAAAGCATATCCTACTTTGATTTCAAGGAAAGTTCTGATGGGGAAAGCATTAAGGAAAAATAACTCCACTGAAATGCAAGGAACAGAAAACCCTAGTAATTCCAAAATGGCCAAAATCCTGACCTGATTTTTCAGTCTCTACACAACTGCCAAGAAGGCAAGATTTGAAAAACCAACAAGTTGTTTAACGAATTAGTGGATGGGACCACATGGAAAACTGCCCTTAGGGACAAAAGAGCCAAACAGAGCTGGCAGCTCTTTAAGGACATTTTTCTTAGAGTGAAAGAGCGCTAAATTCCTATGTGTAAGAAACTGGGCAAGGAAGGCAGGAGACTGGCATGGCCCAGGAAGAACCTCCTGGTCAAAACAGAGTATAAGAAGGAAATGCACAGGCAGTGGAACCAGGGACATGTATCTTAGGAAGAATATAGGGATGCTGCCTGGATGTGTAGGGATAGGCTCAGGAAAGCTAAAGCACAGCTGGAGCTGAATTTGGCAAGGGATGTGAAGAATAATAGGACAGGCTTTTACAGGTATGTTGGCCAGAAAAGGAAGATTTCCATGTACGCTCCCTGCCCCCCCCGCCCCCGCCAATAAATAAGACAGAACTGGTGACAACCAATATGGAGAAGGCTATTTTGCCTCAGTTTTCAATGGTAATCTCTCTTCTCACACCTCTCAAGCCCCTGAACCTCAAGGGGGAAAGAAGTCACTCCCATTGTAGGAGAAGATCAGGTTTGAGACCATCTGAGGAACCTGAACATACCCAAGTCCATGGGACCTGATGAAACGCATGCCAGGGTCCTGAGGAAACTGGCTGATGTAGTCACTAAGCCACTCTCCAACATATTTGACAAGTCATGGCAGTCAGGCAAAGCCCCCAGTGACTGGAAAAAGGGCAACATCACACCCATTTTTAAGAAGGGTAAAAAAGAGGACCCTGGGAATTACTGAGCAGTCAGCCTCACCTCTGTGCCCTGGAAGATTATGAAACAGATCCTCCTGGAAAACATGTCGGAACACATGGAAGGCAGGGAGGTGATTAGAGACAGCCAACATGGCTTCAGCAAAGGCAAACCTTGCATGACTAATCTAGTGGCCTTCTACGATGGAGTGACTGCATTGCTGGATAAGGGAAGAGCAACTGATGTCATCAACTGGGTCGGGGCAACCCTCAGCATCAATACAGACTGAAGGATGAATGGATTGAGAGCAGCCCTGCAGAGAAGGATTTGGGGATACTGGTGGACAAAAAATTAGATATGAGTCGGCAATGTGCGCTTGCAGTCCAGGAAGCCAGATGTATCCTGGGCTGCATCAAGAGAAGCGTGGCCAGCAGGCTGAAGGAAGCGATTGTGTCCCCTCTACTCTGCTCTTGTGAGACACCACCTGGAGCACTGTGTCCAGCTCTGGGGTCCACAGTACAAGAAAGACATGGAGCAGGTCCAGAGGAGGCTATGAAAATGGTCAGAGGGCTGGAGTACCTCTCCTATGAAGAAAAGATGAGAGAGTTGGGGTTGTTCAGCCTGGAGAAGAGAAGGCTCCGGGGAGACCTGATTGCAGCCTTCCCATACTTAAAGAGGGCTGATAAGATGGAGAGAGACTTTTGACCAAGACCTGTAGTGACAGGACAAGGGGCAAGGGTTTTAAACTGAAAGAGGGTAGGTTTAGATTGGACACAAGGAAGAACTGTTGTACGATAAGGGTGGTGAGGCACTGGAGCAGGTTGTTCACAGAAGCTGTGGATGTCCCACCCCTGGAATTGTTCAAGAGCAGGTTGGATGGGGCTTTGAACAACCTGATCTAGAGAAAGATGTCCCTGCCCATGGCAGGAGGGTTGGACTGGATGAGATTTGAAGCTTTCTTCCAACCCAAACTATTCTATGATTATGTAAAAAAAGTAAAGTTCTGATGACTATGTCTCCAGCATCACAGATTCAAGGGTAAATATAAAATTATTAGCATCTTTTGCAGAGTAGTATTGTGCAATCACAATTTTGATGCCAGCAGGGCAGAACATTATTGAAAAGGCCCTTATGGGACACATTGTCAGTCAGGGAGAACAATGAACAATTGTTCTATGTATGCAACTACGCTCCACAACACCTTAGTTTGTAAGCTCTTCAAGCTAAAGGCTGCTTTATTTAAACATTCTTTCAGACGCCTGTCCCCTTTTGAATACAATATAAATAACAATAATCATAATCTTAACTGTAGATTTTTGGAAGACTATTGACTACAAACTAGACACTTATATTTGAAAGACATAATGATTTTATTAAAATAATTTCATGGATTCATTAATACAACTGGTTTTGAGGCATCTGAGTTAAAGACACAAAGTGTGAAACTTTATGAGGAACAAATTACTCATTTTTTCTGGCAAAAAACTGAATTTCTTTACTTTCCAATTCTTGGGTATCTCAAAACTAAGCTTAAAGGCAGCTGATATTTAAGCTGCCTATTTCTTAAATAAGATTAAATTATGAACTAACGAAACAACCAAATTGTGTTATTATACTATAGGATACCCCTGCTGAGTTTTATAGGGCTTTAATTTTATGGAGTGCACCAACACGGCCCTGCACTTTGACCTTACTGTCTGACCACAATTTCACCTACCACCCCCATTAAGCACTGCTGTTCCACTGGAAGTGGAATACAGCCTAAACTGTCTTTCCCGCATACTGTCTGCTCTAGGATTGCAGTATTCCACTCATTGCCTGCCTGCCACCAATTTTCCATTCTGGATGTTTTAGCTATACACTCTCTATATATTTAGATAAAATTCTTACATTCTGGTTCCACTATTCATTCTTCTTCAAACGTTAGCTCACCTTAAGATCCCTACTTTGGGACCGGAGAAGGTCTTGGATGTATCCTTTGGGATCTTTGGAGAAACTCAGCATGAAATCACGTTGTATTTTTAACTGATTTATGGATTCGATTGTCTCATGAATCTGACAGGAAAAAAACCAAATCAGATGTTACTTGATTCCTCCAGTGACTCTGAGGTCAGCCCCATTAGCATCTTCGACAATTCTACACTGTAGACTGGTGCAGGTTCCATGGCTTTTTCCCTTCAAAGACGGAGTTAACCACAATCCTGCAATTACATTTTGGTTTCACTTGTACTTCTGCAATCTAAGTATGCACAGGATTTTTCTTCACCTCCTGTGTTGAACTGCTGGATGGCATGCTCCATACAACACTGAAAACCTAAGCCATGTCACTGTACAATGTAGTACTTTCTGGTATATAATCAGTCCTTCTGCCAAGTCTGGGATTTTTCAGGAAAGGTGCTATATAAATATGCCTTTAAACAGTGCCCAATGCAAGAAAGCAGTTATTCCCCTGGTTAATCATCCTCGTATCTTCAATACACTGCTGTGATCCTTAAAATTTCCAGTGATTGCTTGATCAAGTCTGTGTTAAATGAACTCGCATACCAGCCATGGCTTCTAGACTTTTTCTTACGAGAAAGCCTATTATAGTCACAATGGCTGCAAAAAGGAGTGTGACCAATGAGAAATCAGGAGTATAGAAGGTTTATAGAAAATTAGTCATATCTTCAGAAATATTATTGAAAGAAATGAGCATTAACCATCAGGAAAGAATGAAGACTCCAAAGAGAAGTCAAGGTCCTATAATCATCCTGGATAACAAAATCGAGTATGATCAACTGGAGAACAGCTAATGAATCATTTGCATATAGACACACAGAAAAGCAAACTTTTGCTACCCTGTTCCTCTAAAATTCTAATTTGAGTTTGTAAACCTATCTTGTCTAATTTCACGTATACATCTATTTTGCCAAAACAACTAATGTGGCCAGGCACACGGGAGAAAATAATCCTCCCCTGATCTGGCTGTGCCATCAAGGTATTAGTGTAGCCATAACTATATGGTATAGAACAGAAGAGAGCTACTGTCAACTTAAAATCACTCCTTATTTGGGAAAATTATGTAGCCCCCCTGGAGAGAAATCTGTTGGCATGCACTGAGTTTCCACTAGAGGACTCTGTGGCAGCACAGCAATAAGCGGTACAGATGATAACGATGCAGCAGCCAATGCCTGTTTACCCAGAAAGGACTTCAGTAACTTCACTAATCACAGCTTGCCCTTGCCCTCCGCTGTAGCAACGGCTCAAAAAAAGAGGTGATAAAGACATGGGAAAAGGTGAGCTGGACTGGAAATAGAGTAACGCTGTGCAGGCTGCATGCAAGCATATATAGGCTGGGAACCAACTGGCTGAGCAGCTGCCCTGCTGAAAATGACTTTTCTCAAGAGCCACAGAACAAAAGCTGCTGCAACAGTTACCAGAATCCATAGGACTGCTGGTGTCCAAACCCGCTTTAAAACTGCATGAAGACCAGAGTTTAACATACTTGTTTGTATTAGAGGTAAACAAACAGAAACTGGGCCTGACTGTATGTCACATAAATCATCTCTGGTCCATGATGTCACACCTCTTCTTCCCTTGCTCTGAGAAGCCACTTTTGTTTATCCCTTACCAAGCCAAATCAGCCATTTACACGTGCCAAAAATCCGTCTAACAGTCCCCATGACATGAGCCCCTAACACAGCCTGCAAAGCTCACCACCGCTGTAAGACTGATACTATAATTTGAAGTGCGCATGATCCTCTCTCAGTAACACTGAAAACAAGTCTGCCAAACTGCTCCAAGTGATTTTTCTGCCACGCATTTTCCATATTTGCACCTACTGCATAGAGCTGTTCTGCAACTGTGCATGCACAAAACACGTCTGGAGGATGAGATTCTCTCAGCTTTGCCTTAGAGCAATTTAGCAAGATACCATGACAAAATAAAAAGCTTAGTCAAACAGTTCAGATGATTCTTGAATGCCAGGGGACTCATTATACCACCTGTGAAACTCTGCTTCTATCACCTCGACAACTGTGTCAAGCCCTGGATCAAATCCCAAACTGGAATGCCACTCACTCCTCTGTACTCCCATTGCATGTGGCCGATCCATCCCTTAAAAGCACATCCAATTGAGAAGTCCCTGTCTCACATTACTGTCTTTCACGTGTGACATCAAACCCACACGAAGGTACACGATGAGTATATATGCCATGCGATACTTTACTTTACTCCTGGGCTAGTACCTTGTTGTCCAATGCTGTAATCTCCTGCTGGTTAGCTGTTGAGAGAAGAAAACTACTCATCTGTCCCTTTAATGGGTCTTCAACTTCTACATCTATGTCATAACAAGCCGTCTTCTTCTGATCGTTGGGGTCAACACTATGGAGAGTATAACAGAAGATCATGAGAACTGCCATAATGAATCAGAATAAATATCCAGCCAGACAGAATACACTCTTTGATAAAAGCCTGTTGCAGAAGCTCTGAGAAGATTTTAAGAACACAGTATCTTTGTATGTCTTAGTATATCCTCCCATCTCGCAACAGTCAGAATTCAGAGACTTTTCAGCTGGAGGTTTTGTCCAGACCACCAACTTCAATAGCTGCTAATGGACATAGTCTTCCTTAAATCGTCTAACATTTTCCTGAGACCTGTTACAACTTTGGCCTCCAAAGCAATTCCCAGTGGTAAATACCACACTGGTATGGTCTCTGCTCGACTGCATCTTTTTTGAGATAGGGAAAGCAGAACTGTACACTACCATTCTGGATGTGAGCACATCATGGTATTTGATTTGGTTCTCTGTTCCTTCTCTAATAATTCCTAGCACTGTAATTGTTTTGGCAGCTATGTAGTATTGTAATGACGCCCAGCTACTTTTTAAGAGGTAGCACTGAATTTGGGGACCCCCACTTTGTTTGTAAAGTTGCCTGCTGAATCCTTCAAAGAATACAGCCAGTCATACCTTCCTGTTACAAAAGCTGTATTGACTCTTCCCCAATGTATCACATGTCTATTAACTCCATTCGCTAGTACGCTTAGTACCAATTTGCATCCAATATTCACATTAATTATTTACCACTGCCTGCTACTGAAGGAGATTTCAGTAACAGGTAACACATGGTATAGAATCATAGAATCATTTAGATTGGAAAAGACCTTCAAGATCGTCAAGTCCAACCGCAAGCCGTCTTCTTCTGATCGTTGGGGTCAACACTATGGAGAGTATAACAGAAGATCATGAGAACTGCCATAATGAATCAGAATAAATATCCAGCCAGACAGAATACACTCTTTGATAAAAGCCTGTTGCAGAAGCTCTGAGAAGATTTTAAGAACACAGTATCTTTGTATGTCTTAGTATATCCTCCCATCTCGCAACAGTCAGAATTCAGAGACTTTTCAGCTGGAGGTTTTGTCCAGACCACCAACTTCAATAGCTGCTAATGGACATAGTCTTCCTTAAATCGTCTAACATTTTCCTGAGACCTGTTACAACTTTGGCCTCCAAAGCAATTCCCAGTGGTAAATACCACACTGGTATGGTCTCTGCTCGACTGCATCTTTTTTGAGATAGGGAAAGCAGAACTGTACACTACCATTCTGGATGTGAGCACATCATGGTATTTGATTTGGTTCTCTGTTCCTTCTCTAATAATTCCTAGCACTGTAATTGTTTTGGCAGCTATGTAGTATTGTAATGACGCCCAGCTACTTTTTAAGAGGTAGCACTGAATTTGGGGACCCCCACTTTGTTTGTAAAGTTGCCTGCTGAATCCTTCAAAGAATACAGCCAGTCATACCTTCCTGTTACAAAAGCTGTATTGACTCTTCCCCAATGTATCACATGTCTATTAACTCCATTCGCTAGTACGCTTAGTACCAATTTGCATCCAATATTCACATTAATTATTTACCACTGCCTGCTACTGAAGGAGATTTCAGTAACAGGTAACACATGGTATAGAATCATAGAATCATTTAGATTGGAAAAGACCTTCAAGATCGTCAAGTCCAACCGTTAACCTAACCCTGCCAAGTCCACCTCTAAACTGTGTCCCTAAGTGCCACTTCTACATGTCTTTTAAATCCCTCCAGGGATGGGGACTCGACACCGGGCAGCCTGTTCCAATGCTTGACAACCCTTTTGGGGAAGAAATTTTCCGTAATATCCAATCTAAACCTCCCCTCGTGCAACTTGAGGCTGTTCCCTCTCACCCTATTACTTGTTACTTGGGAGAAGAGACTGGCACACTCCTCGTTACAACCTCCTATCAGGCAGTTGTAGGGAGCTATGAGGGCTCCCCTCAGCCTCCTCTGCTCCAGGCTGAACACCCCCAGCTCCCCCAGCCGCTCCCCAGCAGCCTGGGGCTTCAGACCCCTCCCCAACTCCGGTGCCCTTCTCTGGACACGCTCCAGCCCCTCCAGGTCCTTCTGGGAGTGAGGGGCCTAAAACTGAACCCAGCATTCAAGGTACAGTCTCACCAATGCTGAGTACACTTTTCTGCTACAAAAGTTCTAACTATAAATGTGTACAGAGTATTTAAAGACCCAAATTCTCCATTCTGGCCTTTATCTATTTCAAGAAACTATAAAAAGCACCTAGCAGCAGCATCTTGTCATCTAAGGCTTTGAAGTCTGTATGTTAAACCTTATCTTAGAATTAAATAGATAAATGGAATAGATTACTATTAACATTAATAAGATAGTGTCTTTCTAGAGCTTAGGGTTCTTTTTTTTCCTACTGTGAAAATTCAAATGTTTCAAAATTTTCAAAATTAGTAAGAAGATATTATTATTAAATTACGTACTTTTATTCTTGATTTCCATGGATATTTTATCAATGGTGACAAAAGAATAGAAAAATTATAAGAGTGGGGGCAGTGAGGACAGTGCACGGGGAATCCCATGATAGGAGAGGCTCTCACAATTCCCTTGTAAAAGCAACACCATGTGGGGGCCCCACCACATGTGCCTGGAAAGAAATGTGCAAGGCTTGAGAAACAGCCAGAATCAGAAGCCAGCGAACAGCTGCAGTCTCTGGGATATGAAAAACATCATGAAATAGCTTCTGTGTCTGGCACAGGATGACAGTATGGAAGGCAATGATAACAGACTGCACACTAGGGAAGGCTTCACCTCAATGCTGACACTTGCACAGGAAGAGCTGATACTGCGAGGGGCATCTCCCACAAACCACCCCATCAAGAAGGAGACAAAGCCTTTCTTAGGCATCTGGAGGAAGCCCCACGGGTGCAGGTCCTCGTACTCATGGGGGAAATTTAACCACCCTGACATCCGCTTTGAGGGCAGGAGCACTGCATGCAAGCGCTACAGGGGATTCCTGGATTGGACTGATGACAATTTTCTGACACAGGTGATCAACAAGCCAACAAGGGGAGGTGCCCTGCTGGACCTGTTACTCACAAAGCAGGAAGCACTGGTTGGGGGTGTAAAGGTTAAGGGCAGCCCTGCTACGAGATGGCAGAGTTTGTGACCTTGAGAGAAGCGAGCAAGACCTGAAATTCAGGACAGCAGGTTTTGGCTTGTTCAGGGATCTGCCTGGAAGGATTCTATGGGACGGCGGCGATCCCTGGAGTACAAAGGGGCCCAGGGAAGCCGGCCGAACTTCAAGGACAACCTCTTCAAAGCAAAGGGGAATGATCAGCCCAACGTGCACAAAGGTGAGCAGGCCTGGCCGGAGGCCGGCAGGACTAAGCAGGGAAATCCTGACTGGCCGCAAATGCAAAGAGGGAGTGCACGGAGGTGTAAGCGGGGATGATCAACCCACCAGGAACAGCACAACGATGCCCAAGCATGCCAGCACAAAACTAGACAAGTCAAAGCTCAGCTGGAATTGAACCTAGCAATGGATGTGGCGGGCAACAAGAAAGCCTTCTGCAAGTGGATCAGCAGCGGAAGGAAGACTAAGGAAGACTCGGGTCTGGGTCTGGTTCTGCCGCTCATGTCAAAAGCCACGGGAAAAGGCTGAGGCGCTCAGTGTTGTCTTTGCCTCTGTTTCTCCTGCTAAGTCCTGTCCTCAGGCCTCCCAGTTCCCTGGGCCTATGACAGAGTCAGGGGAGCACGGCTGCTCAGAGGGACCTTGACAGGCCGCAGAAACAGGATGGCAGTCCAATGTGTAAAGTTCAACCAAGGCAAATACAAAGTCCTGTTGCTGGGATGGAATGATGCCATGCAGTGGTGCAGGTGGACATCACCTGGGTAGAAAGCAGTTTTTCAGGAGAGGACCTGGGGGTCCTCATGGAGAGCAAGCGGAGGATGAGCCTGTGAGGTAAGCCAGCCGTGACAAGGGTCATCTGCAAAATGGGCTGTGTTAGCCTAAGTGTTGCCATCAGGTCAAGGGAAGAGGCTAGTCCTTGCTATGCCACACTTGTGAAACTGCACCTGGACTTCTGGGCAGGGGACCAGAAAGACGTGACATTCTGGAGTGAGGCCCGCAGAGGCTCACCAGGGTGCCTGGGGGCTGGAGCACATGCCTACCAAGAGAAGCTGCAAGAGCTGGGTTAGTCCAGCCTTGAGACGAAAAGGGGAAAGGGAGATCCCACGAGGGAGTGCAACTGCCGTATGGGATGGTGAAGAAAAGACAGCGCCAGCCTCCTCTTAGGGGTGGACAACAGTAGGATGACAGGCAACAGAAACGCACTGCAACACGGGCGACGGATTCAGTATAAGGAACTTTTTTTTTTTTTTTTAAATCATGATCATAATCAAAAGGGGGAAATCAAGAGCTAACCTATTTGCAATAGGGGAATATGGGAGAGCTATGCTTTTAGTCTGCTTGTGTAATGTTCCTAGTGTGGGAGATGTCTTGCTGCTTTGTAGAAATGGGAAATCCCACATATGTTTCTCTCTATACCTCTGATTTCAGGTGTGTCAGCTGCAATAACGAGTGCGACTCAAGAAAAGCTCCAGCTCCAGATTGAGCTCAGGTAAGAAGATTTGAGTTTCAAATTTTATGCATTCAGTATTGCAGAGATCATAAACTATTATACACTCTGTATTTTTTAATTGCATTCTGCATTCTCTTTGAGTCTACCTAATATTTAAAATATTTACCAAGATTAGAGACTTTCTGTTCATCTCCATTTCATTTCCACTTCAACACCATTGCATTTTTTGTTTTCTTTTTCAAAAAGGCAGGGTGGTTGGTGTCTGAAGAGTGGTTCTAAAATTCTATTATTTGTAGAAAGAGTTTAGAATACTTTCAAGTTTTAGTCTCTCTGCACATACTCTAAAACTGTAACGAATAATTGTGACCTTCTTGTAAAAGACAGGCCTGAGGATTTATCTGAATTAAGAGCACATATATTTAAAATCACTAGTGATGAAAAATGCCCTGTAGCAATGTGCTGGTTTTGGCTGGGATAGAGTTAATTTTCTCCACAGAAGCTGGTATGGAGCTCTGTTTTGGATTTGTGCTGGGAACAGCGGTGATAACACAGGGATGTTGTTTTCGTTATTGCTGAGCAGGGCTTACACAGAGCCAAGGCCTTTTCTGCTCCTCGCACCGCCCCACCCAGGAGCGGGCTGGGGCTGCACAAGGGGTTGGGAGGGGGCACAGCCGGGACTGCTGACCCCGACTGACCCAAGGCATATTCCACACCATATGACATCACGCTCAGCAATAAAGTAGGGGGGAGGGGTGCTGCTTGGGGACTTGCTGGGCATCAGCTCATTGGTGGTGAGCAATTGCTTTCATTTACATCACTTGTCTGTTTAAAGCTCAACTGGACGAGGCCCCTACGCATCCTGATATAATTTGAACCTGCTTTGAGTTTGGAGGGAAGAGCTCTAGAAGACCAACAGTGATCCCTTCTACTGTACATTATTCTGTGATTTTATGAGCCTAAAAATTACTTACGTCCTTTAAATTCAGTGCAAAGCTTCCAGATTTATTTTAGCTTAGCTTGAGACTGTAAAGAATCTGTCACAGAAGCATTCCCTGTTCTCTGAAATTAATACTTCCCCTTTCCACAGCATTATGTCAGTGCAGTGTCACACTGTGCGGTGCACACAGTGTTTCAGAGATCGCTGCTATACACAAGGTCCTGCTCTCTAGCTTGTATTTAGCAGAAAACATGTGGCCCCTGGAAACATAACCATCAGGTCCTTGTCATTTTTCTCCAAGACAATGACTATGTATCTCTGAGGACCCCAGCTTTTTTTCATCCATCAATCAGGTCACTGGGTTGTGTTCAATAACAGTATAGACACAGCCATCAATCTGCACAGTCATCAAGCTGCTTTTTGATTGCTCAAATGAATCAAAAAGCAAATTTTATTTTGATAGCCTATGTAATATTTAAACTTCTTATTGCATACATTACAACGTTAAAATAAAGCACCCAATTTTAAGCATATTCAAAAATATTTGTTGTCAATATTCTGTAGGAAATCAAATCACTACACTCAATTAACAATAATGTTTAAACACCCAGTTTTGACCAAGGCCACACAGGAACTTAGGAAAGACTGAAATAACTTAACAGCAAGGTTGCAAACCCTAAAGTCTCTTTATCCCTCCCCTGCTCCGCCCCCAGTTGTCACTTAAATATGGAATGCGCTGGAAGCGCCCTAGATAGCTGAAAGTTGTATTTCATCTACTATGCCATCCATCTGTTTTGACAAGGATGCCAGAAGCTCAGTACCTTGGTCACAATGGCTGCCTCTGAATCTAGGCAGTCTTTACTGTTAATCTCTCGAGACCTCTGACTAGATGGCATTCTTAGAATAAGACTAACACCCAAAGAGCTGACCCAACCCCAACAAAGCATGCATGGGCTGGCCACTGTATCTGGAACCGTAATACTGTTGTAAATTTTATGTAGTAACTCAGTGATTAGAATGATTGGCCATGATGTACAACATCTTACTTCAATTCCCTTAATTCCCTTCTAAGTGGATTCAAACTCTCATTCCTCTCCCCTCAGGAAAGAAACCTGACCAGCTCTCTCAATGGTATTCTGGTAGAGATAAAAATAAGTTTTGCATGCATACTCCTCGAGAATCAATGTCATTCTATTGAAAATAATTTGGAATTATATAGACCAGAATGACACAGAGAATGAACACACAACAAAGTCCAAGGTACTCATCTGGAAGTTATAAAACCTGGATTCTGGTCCCTGCTACTGTAGCTGTTTCTCTATTTTATATAGTGAGTGCCTTGCGCAGGACAGCGCTGAGCTGAGTGACCAGCTTACCTGATGATATGGTTTATCACTATAGGGTCTGGTGGCAGCAGCAGGTTAGTGAGTCGCTGAGGAATTTCAGAAAACTTTAGCCTTGGACAGTCAAAGATCTGGAATGCAATAAAGCATGTTATCCTTAGCTGAAACCTAACTTGTAATTAAAGAGAAAGTAAGAAATCAACAGTTCAGAGGTAGGGTGATTTTGAAAGCTGTAATGCTGGCTCCTTGCACAGAACAAGTTTTTGGTCGCTTCTGTCCCTGTGAATTGCTGCTGTACTGACAGATGCATCAGGTGACAACAATTTCAGGTGTCCCACTTTTGGTTTAGCTGCTGAAAGGAACAGGCCACTTTAATGGGACATCAGGATCAAACGTATCAACAATGGGAGAGAAGTGAACACTTTCTCAATAAGGGTTGGCATCAGCATATTGTAAAGAAAACTTTTTTTTTACCTGAGGACATATAAAAACATTTTGCTTTTTTTCCCCCCAAGGCTTGTTTCCTCCAATATTTTGTGCTAAACAAAAATACAAGAAAACATTTTTGATTTTAAAACCATTTGCAATTTTTTTTTTTTTTTAAGATTAAGGAAAAAAAAGTCAACATGGTTTTACTTATTTTTAACCAGAACCTAAGCAGCCTCTTGGAACAGATCCACTCCTTTCCAATCAACGTCTACATGGTTATCTTCCCTTTGCTATGGTCCAGAAGCTAAGTATGTATTGACCTCAGGAAAAATAAAATTTTTTTGAAAAGGATCAAAATCTGTAGTTTTTGGCAATTTTCTGTGAGTAATTGTAGTGCATTGCCATGAATTGAGAACCACTCATTACAGTATTACAGCCTTTATTTCCTACTGGGATTTTAATGCTCTGAAAAGGTGAATAGGCTTTTCTCTAAAGAACTTTCATTTAAACTGACTTAACACACACCCCGAACTATCTATATATTAACATTTGCCATAAAACATGCCTTTATGTGGAGGCAGTTTGTAAAAACGTCGAGGCCTATGAAATGCAAATGCCTCTTAGGGCACCTGATAGAAGACGGATACTACTTGTAGTATCGTGTCTATAAACGGAAGCGTGCTTTGCAGCTCTAAAGACAAAAGATGCAGGCAGGTTTGAAAAGAATGGGCAATCAGGTGGTGGAATGGACATATGAAGACTGTTCAGCTAGGATGCCATGGTTCTTCAGATAGAGTATCTTCTGAAATCCATAATTTTCTGGAGTGAGGGAATTTGGTAGCAGAAATACCTAGAAGCCAGCTCTGGCTTTTCAAATACCTTTGGGCTGTTTTTCTTGCTTTTGTTGTAACACGGTGGATTTCAAATCTCCCAGCTGATGTAAACAGTGTTTCTAAACAGAAGAGGATCCTTCTTCGTCAACTCTAAAATCTGTCTGATTTGCTGGATTTACCTGCATCCAGGAATTCAGCCTGCTAGTTTCTAAAGAGCAAGGAAGTAACCAAATCTACTGAGTCTGCAACTCGCTCTTTATTTCAGTTCTGTATTCTGACACTTGATAGAGATGACTGTGGAATTCCCACTCAAAGATCTCTGCATACCAAGCTCCATCCAATCTACTGCCATCACTGGCTCAACACTCGTGTCAAACTCCTAATGTGGATGCCCAAGAGACAAGAGCTTTGAGAAGGGAAAAGGGAGCAAGGACACACAATAGTGAGAGAAGGGGTGGGAGACTGGAAACCTGCTGCCTGCCAGTTTCATTTGATGGCCTCTAACTATTTACCAAAACCAATAATTACTCCTTGTTAACCTTTTCCATTCTGCTCGTGATTTTTCAAATCTTTTTCACCTCCCCTCTTCCATTTCCTCTTCAGGCTGGCACAAACAAAATGTAGTCTAAATTGGCTACAGATAAATAGAGACTAGAAATCAAATCTTCTAAGCAAGAGAATGAACAGCTGTGTCATTTTGCCAAAAATTCTTAGTTTTAAGATGGAATTTTCACTATATATGAAAACAACTGCAAGCTGCAATTCTTCAGAAAAAAACCCAAACAAGAGAGTGACTATGTAATCCAGATCACTTTGGTTCTGTATTCCTAAAAATACCCATGAATGTCACAGTTATTTTATTGTATTTTGTATTTTCAAATGTGGAAAAACCCCGTGCTGCCTTTATTGCAAGCACCGGTCACTTTAAACTGTTGTAGGGCAAATTAATAACAGAAAATAAAAGCTTAAAAAGAAAACTAGGACACAACTTTCATTGCAACATTTCCTTTCAATGCTCACTAAAACATTATTCGTTTATTATAACTGCCAGTACTTTCCCTAAACAGGAGTGTGTCAGAAACCCTACCTTCAGGTACTTTCAGAATACATTAGGTCAGCCTGAAGCTACAGAAAACCCAAATCAATTAAGACAGTGACAGCTCAGATAACATTACCTTTGTAAAATAAATATAATCATATTTACACAAAAGGTGGAGATGCCTTTAAGTGGCCTCCTTGGTTAATTCTAGGGGTCACTGTGAAAGACAAAAAGCCTTAATGTGCTATTTTCGAAACATGCAGATCATTGAGGGCATTTTATCATCTGAAGCAGACTTAGGAAAAAATAGCTTTTCTAATTGTATCTTCCATGTCTTCTGCCCTTCATAAACAGGGAAAGAAAAGGGAAGAAAACAGGTCTACATATGATTTGGCAATCAGAATCAGGAGATGATTTCAAGTTTCTTAGTAGAAAATGATACATCAGGCGGGAAAAAAACCCGGTAAATCAATACAGTGAAATGATTATAGAAAGTCCTTCCTGGAAAGGCTGCAACTTATGTGGGAGCGCTGAACCACCAGATGTGGTTTTTTGACAACACTGGCACCTGGGGAGGGTGCTTATTATATTAGTGTAGTGCCTGTTGAAAGCCATTCAGCGCTGAAGGTACTGAAAAGCATTAAAGGAAAATAAATTTAATCTATCCAAGATTTGTGGATGGATGTTATAGTTTACCTCTAAAGAGCTACTGTGTCCAAAAAGGAGTTACCTGCTGGAAGTACTTGTCGCAGTTAATGTATTCCTTATCATGGGAGTCTTGCAGCTTATTTGTTTTGATATACTGCCAGAGAGCCTGGATGATGGCTGATCGGGTCTGCGTGTGTATCCCCAGCAAACGGGCCAATCGCGGGTCCAGTTTAAACTGTGGAGGCTGTAACAGAAAGAGGAGATGGACATGGCAATTGAGAAAAAAAGCAGACAGATACAAAGGTATGAAGTTGCAGCTTTAATTCTTGAGGGACTCTGTTTCTCAGGAGAAGCACCCCATCCAGTGACAGTGATTCCAAAAATACAAGTTGCTCAGACGTGTGCCACTGTCGGTGCTCTGGAAGAACTCTGTCTAGGGCTTGAAAAGAAAGAGGGACACTCTACATGTGTGTTGTGGTTTAACCTGGCAGGCAGCTATACACCACACTGCCGTTTGCTCACTGCCAATGCCCTCAGTGGGATGGGGGAGAGAATTGGGGAAAAAAAAAAAAAAAAAAAGTAAAATTTGTGGATTGAGATAAAGACAGTTTAAAAGGACAGAAAAGGGGGGGAAAAAAACCACCCCAACAACAAATATACAGAATAAGTGATGCGCAATGCAATTGCTCACCACCCACCAACTGATGCCCAGCCAGTTCCTAAGTAGTGGTCCACCCCCCAGCCAACTCCCCCCCAGGTTATATACTGAGCATGACATCATACGGTCTGGGACACAGACTGTATCACATGCTTTAGATAACAGCAACTTGCATGCAGACTCAGGGAAGAATTTTCCTTTTCAATATTGATGCATAATTTGACTTTAGGAAGTGGGAGAAGAAAAAGAATGGTGCTTCCTCTGAACTACTGGACGTTATCCACAGATAGAGAGAATGAAGTCAGGATGCTGCTTCTACTGTTGCTAACAACTGCTCAGCTGCCTCACATCAACAAAGTACCTTGGAACTGTTTTTCAGGCATGTTCCCACCATTCTGTGGCATACCAGAGAATTTGCCCAACCACAACTAGTCAATGGAATATATTTCTTCCCCTGAGCATCTGTGATAGAACTCTTCAACCCTGTTCTACATCTCTAGTAACATACATTTCTCTGATAGCTGGGAATTTGGTGCCTCTTCAAGCGTGTGCCCATAGTCAAGTGTAATATTTGCCACATTATTAGGCAAGGATTACTCTGTTGGGTGCTAGGTCACCCAAAGCTAGCTTTATAACAAATCAAGACTTAAGGATAAGAGAACATCTAGTTTAAAGAATGGATTTATAATAATGGTGAGCATAGTAACATCATTATACTGTCTTAACAATAAAGACTCTCACTGGCTATATCAGCATTTCAGTTAGCTCATACGCTCCCTAAAATTAATAAAATTTTCCTCTCTTTTAACATAAAATGGAGTGTCTTCATCCTGGATAGATGCTATTTGCATGGAGAGGAAGAGAATGGCACAGAATGAGTTTTAAAATTATACAATCAAAACATATCTGAGGCTGAACTGCCATTGAAAAAGGAGATCCCATCTCCTCTCAGCAATGCATTTCTATCAACTTCTTTAAGACAGCAACATTTCTTTCAGGGATGCTGTCAGTCAGATTGGTGAGCTCCACAACTGCAAACCTCCATCATTTGGAGAATGGAGACTGTGGCAGTGCACACCCATAACTGAAATTAAAGTGGTTTCTTTGCAGCAGCTTAGCCTTACAACAGCTTAAAACAGTTTGAAAATGTGCCCAGGAACCTCTTTTATATTCTATCCCAAGGCACAATAACCTAATTCTGCCTGGGTGGGGTTTTTTTTTTTTTTGTTTCCTGTGACGAGGATTTGGAAGTAGGTTTTGTTAGCTTTCAAATGGATCAGTTCCCCGACTTGTTTGTGTTCAGCCCACAAATACTAC